TCCAGTACGTGTTTTTTCCATAATCAGCACTACCTGCAGAGATTGATAATATTGTATACTATGTTGGGATCTGGAACACTCTGTGTGATTGGGATGCCAGCAATCAGCAATCAGAGATATTTTAGTAGCTTAATTCATCTGGAATTTTACCATCTCCAACAGTGACCCAGTGCAACCGTAATTGCTTGTACCAGGCCAAAAAATCCATCAAATTCATTAGCAAGTGCACAAATTGTTACTTGCGCTAAGATGAATAAATGCCTTCCAAAAGCTCTAAAGCCTGCTATCCATGTAAACAGTATTTATTTATCCATGTAAACTGTGTTTTCTCTATTCCAGTGTTTCCTATTTACTCTACTGTTCAAGTTTAGAATCACAATGAAGTTGTCTTTGAAAGAAACCCAACTCTTCAAGGCTGCATTAAACTGATTAAAATCAGTGACTGATTTCAAATAAATTCTGTTCTTCAATAAAAATCCTCTTGTGCTGCACAACCAACCTCAACTGTGCTAATATTAAGCACCACAGTATCAAATTAGCATATTTTAATGATTCCTTAAGGGTGAGACGATACAGGGCTTTCTTAAGAGACTGTAGCAACGGCTGCTACACAAATGATGCTTGGTAACCACACTATGGAAGTCAATGAGGACCACCAGCAACTGTTTGATTGCCAACATTTCTTCAGAATATCTTCTTTCATCTTTAAGAGAAGAACGAAACTCATATAGATTTAGAACAACTTACAGGCAAGTAAATGATGACAGAATTTTCATTTTTGGGTCAACTATCCCAACTATTACTATTAACTATTACTCCACTGACAGAAAGACAAAGCCCAGCATAGTAGCATCGCTTCCTCTCAAGTAGCTTCTGGACTGAAGCACCGCCATCACATTCACATAAGTTATAGGACCTCAGTGAGAATGCAGTGAGCTCATGGGAGGAAAATGAGATGCTGCCTCCCACTGAAACTTTATCTGCTGTTGAAAAATGACTGCCCTACACGTTGTTTGGTCTCTTATTTTTTATACTTTTCAATTATTTTCTCATTTGAATTTTCCTGAGGCACCACTGCTTCCTCTTGTTCCTCGGAGAAACACCCCTACTCAGAAGGCAGCATAATTATGTTGCTTAACTTTCGGAACAGGCTTTGTGTCGCATGACTGTGAAGCCTTAAAATGCTGTCTAGGGAAGCAGCTCACTAAGTTTCAGAAAAGAGTCAGAGACATTTAAAAGAAGTCAAATCTGCATATGAATGCCAGTTCTGTCAATGTGACCACATTACAAGACTATCACGAACAAATGCTATACCAAATGCAATATCCCTAAAGAAAAGGCAAAGCGAGATACAACTATAATTTTGGAAACACTGATTCATGAGAAAGCAGTGGTGAGGTATCGCCTGCCAAGCCCAACATGACAGACCTTCAACAGGCCAGAAAACAGCAGGGGGCTTCATAGGACCTCCAGGAAGTCTTGGCCAAGGAAAGAGTAAAGTGACAATCCTTTTTTTCATACCATATGCCACACAGGTCCAAGAACACACGCTTATTTCTTCACATTACAGGAACTGTTCTTTTTAAAAGCTCTATTATCCAACAAAATCTGTACATTTACAAGAATACTTAAGTGGTGCTTGATGGTGTCAAACCTGCCGCCACAATGCTACAGTGTTCAGAACGGTGAAAAAACATCGCTATGTACTCGCTATGGTGATGTCTTTGCAGTTTCTGGTTTTAGTCAGGGTTTTCGGTGTTTTGACAAAAATGTCCTTTACATTTAATCAATCTCATCATATTCATTCAGTTTAGTCTATTTTACTCAGATTAAAACAGAATAATAGTTTTTTGTTGTATTTTAATATTAATTCTAGTTTAGCAAAATTATGTGTCAAAATTGAACACACCAAAATGTGAAATGTATAAACATTTATCAAGGATGCAAACTCATCATGGGTGAAAAAGGTAACACCCCCCCCCTTTAAATGTTCACTTTCATTCATGAAGACAGGAAAAAAAAATGTCTCCTGGTGGAAAACAAAGACTTAAGATGAAAATGATATGACATTACCATTATATCCAGTAGATGGCAGCAGAGGACCACCCATTAGCTCAGTTGCCATTTCAACTCCATAGTTTTTCTCACATCTTGCTTTTGGATTTATCATAAAATGACTATGAAGTATAGCAAGTGCAGGAAGTCACAAAGTCTCATGTCATTTAAAAACAAATAAATAAATAAATAAGCCCAGACACCAACAGCCTAGTAGGGTTAATTATTTAAATACTAAAGTAGTTAACTACAAATTAAGTTAATTATTAATAGTATAATAATGAAATAATGCATTAAATATTTTAGCTTTTTTTTATATTTAATTTATAAAAACTACATTTTTCAAACATTGCCTAAAAAAGGACACATCAAAAAAAGAGTGCTTTAACTTATTTTTACCTGTAGAAGCTGCTAAAGGCAACAGACTTGTTGCTGCTGTAATTTTATTACTCTGAATTTACTCTGCATCACTTAAAGCACAACTGTCTATCGGCTTGTCAGATAGTTCGTTCCGTCCATTGCTACAGTTATCACCATCAATCGTGGATCAATTTGGCGGATTCACTCGCGTAATTTTTTACACTCGCGTTTGTCATTCCTGAAACAGTATACATGGACGGTTTGGTTATCTTACACGTTTCTTCAAACTGTGAATGAAGTAAAAACCGAGCAAAGGGCGCTTCCCTTAAAGTCCGCATGAAATCAAAATTGACTTTATTTACTTTACTAGCGCACATTGCTAGTCTTGATGTAAACAATTAATCCGTGCAAGTTAATCCGCTGAAAAAAATAGTTTGTCTTCGTAATCTTTAATCAAAATCTGATAATTTGCTTCCGCTCTGGAATGGCATTCCTTTTCTGATGACGTCAGTTTGACGGCTTGGGCAGAATATCCTTAAACACACCCCTCCAACCGTTAGATTGCTATGAGTGAGAGACAGAAAGGAGGAGCGCAAACATAAAACCATGCCCTCTATTCAATATTCCGTTTCAGATGGAAATGCGTCACTACACTGAAATAAAGTCGGCAACAACTTCCGGTTCACGCGGAATTTAAAGCGTAACTGTCCGAGCTTACTCACGCGGAAACTCCTGATATAATCGATAACTAACTATACAATGAATATCTTATTTACATCGTGTATGCTTTCTTTTTGTCTTGTGATAATAGGAAGATCTGTGAGTGTGTAGAACTACGCAAACTTGCGAAAACAAAAATTAGATCAGAGCGGATTCTGACTAACCTACAGTAAACACCTCTGATTGGCCACTGCGTTCAACAGAGATGCCTGTGATTGGCTACAATACTCAATGCTGCAAAACACGTTGTAAATAGAAACTTTTGGTTTTGTAATTCGAAACCAGAGTGCGCACACAAAAACACACAGGAGCGTTTGAAAGCGGGTGACTTCGAGCGGGTACAGAATTGAGTTGATACTACTGGAACTGTAAAAAGAAATAAAATCACAGAAATAAATTACATTTTAACATATAATCAAATAGATAACAGTCATTTTAAATCGTAATAATATTCTACAGTATTACTGTTTTTGATCAAATAAATTCAGCCCTGGTGAGCAGAAGAGACTTCTTTCAAAAACAAAAAACTGTCTGACCCCAACCTTTTGAATGATACTGTACATAAAATAATCTTATGGACAAATAACCCTGACTAACTAATTAAAAAGATTTTTCTGTTGCATAGGAAGAGTAAGATTAGAGCATGTGGAGGGACACGGGCCACTTCTAGTTAACTAATTGATTCACAACACACTCAGAACGAGGACGGGCCACATTACTAACACTGACAGCAGCTAAACACAGCAAACTCAAGAATCTCCCACATGCTGCTTGTCAATGAGAACTCCAGCTGTGCTCCACAAAATATTGGAATTTATAGTATTTTAGAAAACATATCTGCATTAGTCTCTAATATACTCATATTTTAAATAAAAATGTAATAAATTCAGCTGGTGACACATACATAGTGCTTATGCGAGCACTGTAACTCAACTGAATATTAGTCTTCCGACACATCATTGGACAGGCTCAATTAATATGCAGTCTATATTTACACACTGCTTGCCTGTGGCATCAATCTTAAAAAATGACAGATCAAAGCTGCATTTTGGAAAAATTTTCCTTTCAGTATGGTAACCAAGCAAGACATATCCAAGCGTCCCGTCTCAAATGCAGACTGTGTACCATGTGATTGCCTGGATTTATTTGATGGATATACTGCACTTCAAGAAACAGAAAATGATGCAAGAAAATTCAACGATATACTCATTTCCTCCCAAAACTTAAAACACAAAACTTGAACAACATAGTTTATTAGCATCCAGTCAATATGAAATCAAAGCTGACCCTATCTTGTCCTGATACACATTCTTTATGATTCAACACTGCATGTTAAATAAATCAAACTTAAAGCTCCTCGAATGTATTGTAAAAAGCCCTATACAAAACTAATGACTTACTTGCTTCTGTGCAACACAAATATACATTTTGTAAAGTATTTATGCAGCACTTGGGTGGTGACTTATATAGACAAGCTTTAGAAAGGACAAAATATGCACCTGACTTATGTGCTATATTCCACATATTCTGAAGAAAAATAATTATTATTCAGCTGATAGGAAGATTATACAGTAGAAGATTATTATTGAATTCAAGCCTGCTGTGTCTAAAGGTGACATTTTTAATGTAACATTCGTGAATTAAATCTGAGAGCTGCATTTGTTCTTTCCAGAGCTGACAGTATCTGACACTAAACCTTTCCTTCTGTGATTCACAAACGATACTCATAGAGGTTTGGAAAGATATGATGGATAATAAACAACACCTCGTGGTAATTCAGCATGTGCTAATGCCAAAAGCAATTCTTAATTAAATAAAGAACAAACAGGAGTGTGTTTTTGTTATTGTTACTGAAAGGCACTCACGTTAAATTTAATGATGTCGTAGATGAGATACCGCGGGACGGGCTGGCCGTTCACTTTGTCGACAATCATCTCCTGCAAAAAAAGACGGCGACGATAAGAAATGCAGATATAATGCCCATAAATCAAGCCTATAAAGATCAACATGATGTAACAATGTGATTAAAAAAAATCAATATAAGATATTTAGCGTTAAAGCTCAAGCACAGACACAAATTAAAGAATAGTAAGTTAATACATGGGGTCCTAATGTCTGAGATCAATGAAATCTTTTCATTTAAACCTGTATATTCAAAGATTTAGGATTTTCAAACAAAGGAATGTTTTGACTAAGGCTGCAGAGAGTAGTGCTGGGCGGTATACCGGTTCATACCGAATACCGGTGTTTATTTTTGTTATGATATGAATTTTTTAAATACCGTAATACCGGTGTATGTCGCTTAAACAACGTTCGGAACGCGACACTGTTTGAAAGGGGTCCCTTTTCACTGTTGCACTGTGGTGAGGGAACTAAGCGTATGCTGTATGTGTTATTAAGCGTGAAAGTTCAGAAACTGAAGCTGTAGAACTAATAGAACGTGATGACGCAGAAGAACTCCTCCACAATATCCACATTGACCGCAACAAATATCCACCGCCCCTGCCATCAGCTCCCGCGTCTCACACATACGAGCGCGACTTTAGCACTAGATTTAGCAACTTTCAGACCCTTTTAGCGGCTTTTTTCCATAGAATATTCATACTGACAAACCTAGCAACTTTTTGGGATAAACCTTAGCTATGGTTCAGATAGAAGATTTCGCCAGTGCTGTCCCGCGAACGCGAGGTCTGACTTTCCCAGAGAAGTGTCGCCTCTCTCGGCGTCTGTTCTGTGCAGTGAACGGCGGAGAAGCACCGCAGCCGACTCGTCAATAAAGGAGTACAAAACAGCGTTTCCTAGCACCTGTCGCTTACTGATTGTTTGGAATTATATGAGCGTAGTTCATATCACATGCACTTTTTTGTTTGTTGTTGTTTTTAGTTTGTTACTCAGACGCAGGCAGTGCGCTGCATGAGACAAAAAAGTAATCTAGCCAAAACAACCGCATAGCCGCTCTTTAGTGTAGCTGCATGTTGATTTTATCAGACGATAATTATAAATGAGAGTGACTCCTGGTTAACATGTATTAAAAGGGGTTGTGTTTAGTCACTATTTAGTGTGGTATTTTTTGACAATATTCACTCATCATGACAGTAAAATAGGACATTCTAAGTCAATATACTGCAGTATTTCCTCTCTCAATCAGTAGAAAATATGGTTAACACCCGGTCATGCATGAAAAAAAAAAAATCCGTCATGTACCGTGAAACCGGTATAATTTTGAAAAATACCGTGATATAAATTTTTGGTCATACCGCCCAGCACTAGCAGAGAGTAATCAAAATCAAAAAGAATCAATAATGAATCAACATTGATCTGTGAGCTGTACACAGGCAGTGACCTTCACACTGGTGAAATGCACATTTTTATGGAAAAAACCCTTTACAAATGCAATGGAAAAAAATAGAAGCATGGGACACTTTAAACACGTCATACTCCATGTTTTTTTTATGTTTAATGGTGAAGTGAGGGTGATAAAGCTGTTTCGGTGCTCCTTCTAGTCACACAGCTGAGCAGCTGAAGGTGTTAGAGGTATCCATGTTTTTCATTCAGTCCATCGGATATAATCGTTTTGCTCTTGATGTGAACGGATAATTTGCCTGCTGTTATGAAATAACTGTTAAGACTTTTGTAAGCACCCATGATCCATCGAAGAAACACATCATTTCTATTAAAAACAGTTTGACAAAATATTTGCTGTTGGCCATTTTTCACTCGTGTTCTCAGATCTCTTGACCTTCAACATTTAAAGTCATTTTTTAACATTTTCATTCATTTCAAGTTTAAATTGAGCGTTTTGGCATATATATTACTCTTAGGGTGGTCTGCACCAATAAAGACTGATCATGATTAAATCATGATTTATCTAATAATTAAAATAGCCAGGTTCACCTTAAACCCTCATTTTAATCATGGTTTTAATTTTAAGATAAATCTAAATGAACTTTAAATTAATTAAGCTTAAACTTGAATCCTTTTGTTTTCACTCAGATTGAAATCTCAGTTAGCTTGCTGCGGAGGAGGTTTAAATTACAAAACAAGTGGACATAACTGGACAATTAAAAGTGGCAGACTGAGCAAAGACAGACAGAGCAGGTGTTGTGACAGGGCTCTGAGATATATTTATATTTATAGCAACTAAATATGTCCATAAATGATTAAAAGGATGGATTAGGGGTCTCATCTCAGTGGCGGAGAGATTTAGCATGCATGGGAGTGAGACACACTGCACTATAGGAACATGCGGGACAGCGGACAACGGGACACATGCCACATGCTCATCATATTATATGTGCTCTTTCATCTTTTATACTACTGTTTTGTTCTGTGTTTTAATGTTACAAGATGCTGCAACACTTCTCAGCCTGTTTGATCAGTCCGGTAAACTAGCAATTTTTCTATGTAGTTATTTATAGCGTTTTTATATTCTACACTACCATTTAAATGTTTGGGGTCAGTAAGATTTTCTTTTTTGAAAGAAACTAATATTTGTATTGAACAATAATGCATTAAATAGATTAAAATTGACACTTTAGACATTTATAATGCAACAAAAAAAATCTAATAAATGCTGTTCTTTTAAACTTTCTATTCATCAAAGTATCCTGAAAAACAAATCATGATTTCTAAAAATATGAAGCAGCACAACTGTTTTCAACACTGATAATAATCAGAAATGTTTCTTGAGCAGCAAATCAGCATATTAGCATGATTTCTGAAGATCATGTGACACTGAAGACTGGAGTAATGATGCTGAAAATTCAGCTTTGCATTACAGGAATAAATTACAGTTTAACATATATTCACACAGAAATCGGTTATTTTAAATTGTAATAATATCACAATATTGTAATTGTTTTTACTGTATTTTCCTTTAAATAAATGCAGCCTTAGAGAACAGAAGAGACTTCTTTCAAAAACATAAAAACATCTTACAGACCAAGTGCTAAGGATTTTTTTCAACTGGCCCGGTCCAACTGTTTTCAACACTGATAATAATCAGAAATGTTTCTTGAGCAGCAAATCAGCATATTAGCATGATTTCTGAAGATCATGTGACACTGAAGACTGGAGTAATGATGCTGAAAATTCAGCTTTGCATTACAGGAATAAATTACAGTTTAACATATATTCACACAGAAATCGGTTATTTTAAATTGTAATAATATCACAATATTACAGTTTTTACTGTATTTTCCTTTAAATAAATGCAGCCTTAGAGAACAGAAGAGACTTCTTTCAAAAACATAAAAACATCTTACAGACCAAGTGCTAAGGATTTTTTTCAACTGGCCCGGTCGGGACAGTGGTTCAAATTTTTACTTGCCCCGCCAACATTTTCACTGGCCCTGCCAAGTGGACAAAAAAACAAAAAATGAATTGTTGTTTTTGACCCATGCTATATAGTATTCTAATAAATAAGCTTGTATGACACCAACATTTTAGACGCCAGTTAAATTTTATAATTCTTGATTCCAATTTCAATACCACAGTAAAAGAGACACTTTAAGGGCCCTATTATACACTTGGCACAATGCGGCGTCAGGCGCGACGCAAGTGTTTTTTGCTCGTTTCAGCCCGACAGTTACAATTTTCACGTCCTGCGCCACATTGTTTAAATAGTAAATGCATTTGCGCCATTACTGGTCTGAAAATGAGGTGTGTTCAGGCGCATTGCTGGCGCGTTGCTATTTTGAGGCAACTGGCATAGACCATTGACCAACTGAAACCTGGTCTAAAGTCTGGCGCAATATATTTTTTTTGTTATTTAAAGAGCGCGTTAGTAATATGCGCCGATAGGCGGGTGAACAACGCGTGTACACTCTGCTTATTACACACACACAGGGATGTGCAGCAGCAGCACACAAACATTTTTAAAAATGAAAAATTAAAGGACTAAAATGTAAAATATTATTATTGTGTACATAAATATAAAAATGCCTACATGTCATAATGGATAGTCATTGCATGTATCAGAATTATGCGCACAAGCAGATCCGTTTCCTCGCTAGAGAAGCGTTCAGTTTTTCCGCTTGTAAATTCCGCCGTGTAAATAGCGAATATATCGGCGCGAGCGCAACTGGCTCTTAAAGGGAATGGGAGATGAGACTCTGATTGGTTTATGGCACGTTACAGCCAAAACACACCCATGACTCATTAAGAGAATAGGGACAACCCTTTTAGACCAAGCGCCGGGCGCGCCGACCATTTTTCCCGTCCTTAGACTAGCAAAAGTAGATTCGGACACGCCCTAAGTGCACTTGTGCCGTGCGCTTTAGACCATGCACTTAGATCGTTAATCCCGCCCACCCGCTGCCGCTCACTCTAGCCCGCCGTGTGTTTCGTTGTGAAAGCAAAACTACTTTGTTTGGCCCTCCAACAGAGGGCACGACTAGAAATCAGTGGTTAAGTTGTATTTACAACACTGTTCCAGAACAGTTCAACCCAAATATTCAGATGTGTGCAGCGCATTTTATGGAGGACTGTTTCCTGATCCTGGGAGAGTAGACTACAATGCCGGCTGTTCTGACTCACAGACTGTAAGTACGTTTTTTATATTTAAAGGATTTGCCACTGATGATTCAAACGCGAGATTTGGGCAGTGTAGAGTAGCGCTTGTTGTTTGTCATTTCTCTGATCACAAATGCAGACATGGTTTTATGTTTACGCGGCGCGATGCAATGCAATGCGTAAAAAGACAGTATAAGTCATTATAATCAGTAATTATGTCCCCACTGGATGCTACAAATGCCTTGTTTATAATGGGTTTTAATGTTTTTGTCTCGTCGCTCCGGCCGGACACGGCATCACAGTATGGTGAGGGGCGTAACATTTCCGTCACACACTTGAGGTATTCAGCCAATCACAACACACTGGATAGCTGGCCAATCAGAGCACACCTCACTTTTCAGACCGATGAGCTTTGTAAAAATCGACGCGTTTCAGAAAGGCGGGGCATAGAGGAGAAACAATAATGTACAGTATGTGGAAAATAATGTGTTTTTTGAACCTTAAACCGCATAAACACATTTCATTACACCAAATACACAAAATAATGTTCTTTTTAGCAACATCATATGACCCCTTTAAAATAGGGCCCTAAGAGACAATTCATGGATGCAATATGATACACAGATTGCCTTCTCGACTGTTTGCGTTCACTGAAGACATACTCACCAAGATGGGCATTTTGATATAATTCTGTGTGCATTTGTTCATTCAAGTTAAAGGCGGCGCGAAACAGAACTTAATTCTGTGTTTGCGCGTTGTCTGAGAGCAAGATCCTCTTTAACATTTAAAGAAAGATACATTAGCTCACAACACTAACTTATTTTTTGACCGTCTCATGTAAACCAAACCTGTGAGCCTCCATTAAGTGTAGAAATAGAGCACATCCTCTCTGCCTAACCTGATTAACAGGCTTTCAAACCGTGCAATAACTTACCCCATCCAGAAGCGTGTTGGAAAGATGGGTGCGAAGATCCTTCCGGAAAGGAAACTCCAGGTTGGCTATGTGAAAGACCGAATTGTCTCTGTCAATCATATGGACTTCGTCTTTTGCATCTATCAACATCATGTACCTATAAAAACACAAGAGACAGAGTGATGAGATCGAGTTTCATTTACCCCTACCTCAAACAACTCTATGATATATAAATAATTTTTAAAAATATTTAACAGTCCAAGCATATCTATATACATATAGAATGCTGCATCAAACAAATTCATAAACATAGGGGAAAAAATGTAGATAATAAATCAACTCCATAGTGTATTTCAAGTGATCAAGGGTTTAAGACGTTCCAATTCAGCCTTTTGCAAGGGTTCCAATGTAATCAACATATATCAATGTGACGGAGGGAAGGGCATAAAAACGAAGCAGAAAGCAGCCCAAGTTTCACTATGACAGACCAAAGTGATGCTGAGAGTTTTCCTTGTTAGGGTTGCGTAATTGTCAATTTGGAACGGTGGCAAAACTCAAAAGTTTGCACAGTACTTTCTGTGTGACTTTCTATTACTAATTTTGATAAAACCGATATGATAACTGATGTGTACCCTAGCAACCACATATCAACACCCTAGCAACCATCCCAGGTACCCTAGCAACCGCATAGCAACACCCTAGCAACCATCCCGGGTACCCTAGCAACTGCATTGCAACACCCTAGCAACTCCCCAAGTACCTTAGCAACCGCATAGCAACACCTTAGCAACCACCCCGGGTACCCTAGTAACCGCATAGCAACACCGTAGCAACCACCCCGGGTACCTTAGCAACCGCATAGCAACACCTTAGCAACCGCCCTGGTTACCCTAGCAACCGCATATCAAAATCCTTAGCAACCGCCCCGGGTACCCTAGCAACCGTATAGCAACACCCTAGCAACCATCCCAGGAACCCTAGCAACCAAATTGCAACACCCTAGCAACTCCCCGAGTACCTTAACAACCGCATAGCAACACCTTAGCAACCACCCCGGGTACCCTAGCAACCGCATAGCGACACCCTAGCAACCATCCCAGGTACCCTAGCAACCATATAGCAACACCCTAGCAACCATCTCGGGAACCCTAGCAACCGCATTGCAACACCCTAGGAACTCCCCGAGTACCTTAGCAACAGCATAGCAACACCTTAGCAACCACCCCGGGTACCCTAGCATCCGCATAGCAGTTGATATTGATAAAAAGATTTGCAAGAAGCATGGTTAAAAGAAACATTTCAACATCTTAACATGGCGGTCAAACTGTTGAGTGATGTTTCAAAGAGAATTATGTTGAACTCAAACTTTGTATTGATGAGGGTTGGTATAAACACCACCAAATACATTGGGGACCCTTTGAGGACCCTAACAATGACCAACAGATACAAAGAAGAATTTACTAATAAGAAACACAATGTTACAGGTAAACGATGGAAGGTTAAATAGCGGTGACTGAAAAATGTTGCAGCTACAAAACAAGAAAGAACAAGAGAAAAAGAAGTCTAGCTAGATTCAGCAGCTCTTGGCTGTTTATGAGCAGAAATTAGCAGCTGAAAAGAAAAGCACTGATTGAGAATATACATCTCGGCAGCTTCGACACTGCAGGAACTGATGAGCCGCAATGATGAGCAGCAAAGCCTCATTTCATGTGGTTCAATGCCATCAGAAAAATTAAGATAAATACTTTTCATAATGGGCATAATTAAACAAAGAAAAAATAAATCAGGTGAGGTTAAGTCTAGTGAAATTTAGCGACCACTCCAGAGGTGTTCTCCTCTGTCATGTTTCCAGCATAGATGATAAATTGAAGACGATCAACTCTAAAACAGGATGCAAAAAGGGCACAGAGTAAAAGGAGGCTCCAAGAAAGCAGGCAGCTGAAAAGAGAAAGGAATATAAGCTGTATCAGGATGTAAAATAACTTGAAATCCATCCAGAGCAAACTAAATGCATGACGGATGACACGGCATGAACATCACCAACGCTTGGATGAAGCCGCAGTGGAGATTTTTATTCGATAAACTCTTACTTCCAAGAGTTCCTTTCTTACTTGAATGCTAGCACATGTATAATGACAGCCCTATTAACAGGTGCAGTCACATTAAAGGGGTCATATGACATTGCTAAAAAGAACATTATGTTGTGTATTTGGTGTAATGCAATGTGTTTATGCGGTTTAAGGTTCAAAAAACACATTATTTTCCACATAATGTACATTATTGTTGCTCCTCTATGCCCCGCCTTTCTGATTTGTTGCATCCAGTGGGGACATAATTACTGATTATAATGACTTATACTGTCTTTTTACGGGTTGCGTTGCGTATCGTGCTGAGTAAACATAAAACCATGTCGTCAGTGGCAAATTCTTTAAATATATAAAAAAACTTACTTACAGGCTGTGAGTCAGAAGCGCCAGACTGTCCTTGCAAAGTTGGAACTGCCCCAC